TATATATATAGTGGAGTGGCATTTTTCCACACGTTAACATACTTGGAAATCTTCACAGAATAATTAACTAGTTTTAGGGTTCACCACTACCTGACAAGGGGGCACAAATGGGGTTTAGGAATGAATTCGATGAGCATTAAGACCATTGACAAAATTAATATTAAATGAGTCGGATAACGATTGACTAGAACGAAACAAGAAGACGATACATAGGACAAGAAGTCGGACAACGAATGTACTATTTAACAGCTTTCTGTCAATATTCCTCAATATTAAATGAATGATGATAATGTGAAGGTTCAAAGTTTTGGTGTAAGACGTGGATAGGGCAACAGCAAGGCAAATTTGTCGATTTGATTTTATATGATAAACAGCAGATGCTGCCACCAAAGAAAAGTTTAAGGATTTGGAAATGAGATTGGTATCAGAAAAAGAGAATATGAAATAATAAGACGTTTAACTCAATTAGAAGGAAAAGGCAAGACCATTTTAATACCAAAGAAAAGTTTTCAAATAGGGGAAATCGTAGTCTAGATCTACTTGATGTTTTCGGTTGAGAAAATTTAAAAGTACTGAAAAACTTTAAAGTGTTAAAAATTTTAGGGCTTGTCCAATATAGATTTCTACATTTTTTTATTTCCTAGACATATGCCCATCACTCTATAAATCTATGTGTAAAACCTAATTTCAAATTTAAATGACCAGTAGAATATAAGTAGTCGTAGTATTCCTATGTTTTTACATCGTTGCCACCAGACTTCATATTTTATTTATAATTTATTTCAAGCATTTCATTAACTGCCATAATTGTAATTAATACTCACTATTAATATCATATCAATCACCCCATTTCTTTTGGTTGTCATTCCCTCTCACATATCGCCCCCTAAAATTGCAAACCAAAAAAAAAAAAAATCTGTAAATTACATATCCAATAATATACCTATGAAAAATATAAATATAAATATATACGTATAAAAATATAAATATATTATTTAAATAAAATATAGGCATATTATGTACCAAAAAAATAAAATAAAATAAGTCAGGTACTTTGTAATTGAAATTTTCGTACATTTTTCATAAATTAAAAATAGGTACACAATAATTTATAGAAAATATAGGTAAATTATTGTCACGCACCGGACCCGAGGGTCGGTAGAAATCCCCACGCCCGGTGCATGAGAAAATATAAAAAAAAAGAAAAAAAAAAGAACCTGAAACATAAAATAAACTTTTCTTATAAAAGTAGCTCCCAAAATCTTACAACTTTACAATTAATAAATAAAGCTCTATCACTCTCATCTAATTCAGCTTCAACCGATTTAGTCCTTGTCTTGCCCACTAATTCATCTGAAAAATTAAACAGGGTGAGGGATGAGCAACCACCGCTCAATGAGTAGATTATGTAATATGTCAGTCAAGCAATGCCGTTTTACACACTCTAGAAAATGTCATGAAAAGATACACCAATCCAGATCATATCACATCATCCCTTCATATCTCGGTTATCTTTCATAGCATGTAACCAACCACGTGACCCCTATTGGCCTCACTGGCCCTATGTCCCCGTGTGCTATATCTATCCCTCGGATACTCCAACATTGAAGTTCTCATGTTCCATGAATAATACATACTTCATAAATATTCCAATCAATATATGTATAGTGTGA